GACTTGTTTAGAGAAGTGTACAGACACCCATTTTGTTGACATTTCTCCTTTTCTGATTCAAAGTATCTCCGTCTTTGTTGATCTGTTGGCTTTTTGTCCATGACTGAGATAAGAGCATTGAAGTCTCCAAATATTATTGAGTTGTCTATCCCATTACTTCCTCTTATGCTTTATGTACTTAAAAACTTTGTTGTTAGAGGCATCTATGGACTCGTAATGCTTTCTTGGTGGATTTTCTCCTTTGCCATCATTTTTCGGCTTCAATTTCTTTCATCTTGAAATCTTCATTGCCTGACATCAGCACAGTCAATCCAGTATTTACTTCCTTACTCTTACTAATCTATATTTAGTTTTACACCTCTGTCACTTAGCTGCATCCTAGCCTTTGGGTTTTAGAAAGAGAGTTTCCCTTGTATCAGGTTCCTACCTGATCCTGTAAAGCACCCCCTTTCCAGTCATCTGTTTTAGTATTCTCCTCCTCCATGTACTCCCCAAGATGATCCCTCAAGTTCCCATGCCCACCTGCCCCCAGTCTAGCCAGGAGATCTCTTCTATTTCCCTTTCCCAGGGAGATTAATGCCTCCCCCCTTGGACCCTCCTTACTACCTGTTCTCTTTTGGTCAGTAGATTGTAGCCTGGTTATCCTTTGCTTTACAGCTAATACCCACTCAGGAGTGAGTACATACCATGTTTGTCTTTCTGGGTCTGGGTTACCTCACTCAGGAAGACCTCTTCTAGGTCCGCATCTCTTCCTCTGAAGACACGATACTGCATGTTTAACATCCCTGGTTTCCTTGATGCTTTCCTAGAAGCACAAGAACCTTGGGTCTCCTGCAGATAATCTGTGTATCTTACATTTTTTTTATTCTTTCATTTCTTATTTTTGTGTAGCTGCTTCCAAAGCACAGTTTCAGGTTCATGTCACTCTATTTTATGAGTTATTTTCTTAATCACGGTCATGGTTATTGCAAGAAACAAAATCTAATTGAGATCAATATCAATTTAATTTGATTGTATAAAAAATTTCCTTTTTATTTGATATTCACATTGACATTCTTCCGTAGCTGAATTCCGATGCATTTATAATTATAGAAATTAGTTCTGCCATGGTCATTAAAGACTTTTGTTGCTTACTTTTTTCTTACAATACATTTTGATCACATTCTCTCCCCCCTAATTCTTCCCAGCTCCTCCTTACCTCCCTACTCTTCAACTTCATGTTCTTCCCCTCTTTTTCAACCCCCCAAGACAAAATCAAAACAAACAAACAAACAAACAAACAAACCAGACAAAACCCCTAATAAGACAAAAGTATAAAAGCAAGCAAATTGTACCTAAAAATACATGGAATTTAATTTTCCATTGGCCATCTACTGGGCATGAAGCCTGCCCTGGAATGTGGTTGATATGCCCAGTGAGAACCCATTTGAGAAAACGGATTTTCCATTTCCCGGCAGGTATCAATTGCAAATAGCTTATTGGTTAGGAATAAGACTTTTGTTCACTTTCCAAATAAAGAATTCATTTTTGGAGAAGCTGCTTCTGTTCATTGCTTATTGGTGATTTGTCCATTTCTTCTTGGAGACTGTTGAGATCTCTAAGAACCTGGGGATGTCAGAGTAACTTCAGTGACAGACTGAGCTGTCTTGTTGGCCATCATAGACACTGTGAGATGTGAAGTTAGGAGGGCTAGCTCCCCTCTCCTGGTTTATTCAGACCTTTGGCAAGAACCCAAAGGTACATTTTGCAGGCTTGGCTGTGTTTCAGCTACAGTAATCCATGTATTTACACCCTGGTTTTGTCCTCTTATTGGTTCTACTATGTTTTGAACAACGCTCCCGGTTTCCTGTGTTGTGCACACACAGGTTGGTGATTTGGGAGTGGAGCAGATATTCGAATGGCCCATCCACCTTTCATTGTTCATTTCCAACATTTGTTTCACATAAGTTTGTGCAAACACCAAGGTAACTGACTTTTTGAAAGTGATTTGAATAGACAGCAAGCAGCTTTTTGGCCATAAACTTTTAAAGGAAAAATCTATTTAAACGAAGATGTCTGTGAGTTATCAGTAGAATAGTAAGGTATGTTTTAAGGCAATTATTAAAACTCTCAAGGCAAGTGATTAATATTTATTAATACTATTTTTTCTTTGACAATTAACCTTGACAATCTAAGTTATATCAAACATATTAATGTTATTTTCTATGTAAATTGTATCTCCCCCTAACATTTGTAAGACAGACAATTCTACTTGTTTTAGAAAACCAAATGAAGGCAGTTCATATCTCAGTCTTATTAGGAATAGTAGGACTAGAGACTTTTCCCTAGTCTGAAATTCTGTTTTGGATTCATCGTGTTAGACACAGTAAGGTCTGCTTTGTGGGATATTTGTACACTGTATGAAGGTGCATTGCTGTGATTGGTGTAATAAGAAGCTGAATAACTAATTGATAGGCAGAAGGTATAGGTGGGATTTCCAGGGAGAGAAAGGAAGAAGAGGAGGAATTAAGGGAACAGGAAAAGCTAGGAGACAGAGTAAATAGAATGTACAAGATGGAAGAGAGGTAACACAATATACTAGAACGTAGATTAATATAAATGGGTTGATTTAAGTTGTAAGAGTTAGTTAGGAACAAGCCTAAGCTAAATACTAAGCATCTATAATAAAAAAGAAGTCTCTGTCATTATTTGGGAACTGGCTGGCAGGACAGAAAGAAACTCCTTACGGGTTGTGGTCACGTTTCAAATTCTTGGCATTTGTAACTTTTGCAAGAATTTAAAAAAATCTTGTGAGAGTTAATCATTTCAGATGCTTTTTAAGTGCTTGCTTGTGGAAACTATGCTCTTGCCAGTGAATGACATAGCTCATTATAACAACACTCAACAACATGATTAAGCTAGCTTTTCTTTGACTATTTGCACAATATTACTTAAATTCTGTGCATTACTCTTTTTTCCTGAGGCCAGATGCTTTGGGATAGAATATGTTATGTTGGGTAAAACACTCTTCCTATCATCTCCTGAGATCTAACACAATAAAGAGTTTTTCTTACTTGTACTGTTCAGTGCTGATAGTTAAGGTCCTTTTGGACAGGGAACCAACATTTTTTTTTTAACTCCATCATGTTACACACAGTTTCTACGTCACCTTGGCTGGGAAGAAATGGTAGCTAGGCTGAAAGCTACCTCAGGTTCTGGTTAGGAATGCAGATCTTGTTCGTCCCTTGCTCAGGGACTAGGTTGTGCCTTCATCTAAGTCCACAAGAGTGAGACAATTTCCAGTAAGGAGAGCAATAGGGGTGGGGAGCTATGCTGATATACTGATCTGAATAATACAGCTAATTTCTTACATTGAGCACACACAGGTCAGTGATTTGGGGGCAGAGCAAAGAATTTAATGACCCATCCACCTTTTATTTTTCATTTCCAATAGCTTGTATCGCATAGGTTTGCACAAACATGTAACGAGTCTTTCTCTGTTCTGCCAGCCAGCTCCCAAATAATGACATGGAGACTTCTTATTGATTAGGAAAGCTGAGCCTATTTTTAGACTTATTCCTAACTAGTTCTTTTTTTTCTAACTAGTTCTTAAAAATTAAATTAATCTGTTCCTATTGATCTACATTTTGCCTCATGGCTTTTTACTCTCCGTTCATTCTGACTCCCTCCAAGTCTTGTTGTCCTCTCCCTTGCCTGCCTAGATTCATCCTAGGATTCTTTCCTTTTTCTGGAAGTCCCGTGTATTTTTCCTATCTATCTATTGGCCATTCGGCTTTTTATCACACTAATCACAGCAATTTATCTTCACATGGTGTGCAAATATCCCTCAACAAAAACACTGAGACAGCTGACATTTTGTAAGTGATTTTGACAGCATGCAGCTTTTCAGCCACAGATTTCTAAAGAAAAGTTCATTTAAACAAAGATGTCTCTAAGTTATCAGTAAAATAGTAAGGTATGTTTTAAGGCCATTATTAAAACTTTCAGGTCAAGTGGTGACTACTTATTAATATGAATTTCTTGTTGGCAAATGAGCGATTGCACAAAACACGCTCTGAAATATTTCCAGTGCCCTTATGTGATAAAACAGTGCTCAGCCCTCAGGAGTGGTTAGAACCTGCCTAGATGTTGGTGAACATGAAAAGTCAATGAAAAAAAATGTGTCTTCTTTGACTGTCAGGGAACCTGAGGAGAAAGGGGACAGTCTTAATGCTTCTGTAATCTCTAAAGGCAGCTGGGTACATTTCTCAGGTCTAGTCTGCATTGTTGCCATATTTCAAGGCTCTGTTCCTATTGAGTGAGGTCGCTATAGTCATTCTGTGAATATTTATGTCATATTCATTTGTAATAACCAAACACTAGAAACCATTGGAATGTCCTTAATTGGCAAATGGGCCATATATCATGGCATAGCCAGATAATGGCATACCAGCGACTGCTGAAAAACTTTGAAATTTGACTCACATAACAAAAGGGAAGAAGCTTAAAGTAATTGTGCTAAATGCTGCTTTTCTGACAAGGTTATCTGTCCACTGAGAAGTAATCAGAAAATATATGTGCCATTAGATCAATCTGCCTGTGAGGGCCAGAGCATATCTTAAAGGTAGGACATGAGGTTGTGGGTTTGATTTGTAGCATTGAGAGAAGGGAGAAAGTGAGAGAGGAGAATACAAATCTACATTTACAGAGGATGTAAACTGATCTATAGAGATAAGAGAAGGATGTTTTATTGGGAGTGTATTGTTCAGTGATAGAAGGATCTGGAGGGGGGCAGAGCATGGATGGGCATGAGTTCTGGGATGATGAATATGCCCATTATCTTGACTGCAGTATTGTTTCATGAAATATACATAAGCTAAAATAGAAATTATACTTTTAAACGTACACAGTTTGCAGTACAGCAGTTGCTTTCAATGAAAAATAAACCATTCAGAAGACAAAACATCAACTGGTGTGTTAGCAATGAATCTATTACAGGATGGATTCTGCTTGTTTTACAGGATGGATTGCTATGCTGGGGGCCATCTGGTTGCTAATTTTAGCGGACACTCATGACTTTGAGATAATTCTACACAGAGTGGAATGGGCGACTCTCCTCTTCTTTGCAGCACTCTTTGTACTGATGGAGGTAAGACCTTGTATGGATGGAGGTTAGACTTTGTAGTGATGGAGGTTAGGCTTTGTATGGATGGGAGGTTAGACTTTGCATGGATGGATGTTAGACTGTACTCATGGAGGTAAGACTTTGTACGGATGGAGGTTAGACTTTGTATGGATGGTGGTTAGACTTTGTGCTGATGGAGGTTAGACTTTGTACGGATGGAGGTTAGACTTTGTAGGGATGGAGGTAAGACTTTGTTCGGATGTAGGTTAGACTTTGTGCTGATGATGAAGGTTAGATTTTGTACTGATAGAGGTTAGACTTTGGACTTTTGACTATGTAAACTTTTACTTGATTTTAGGTTTCATATTTGTCTACAGAGCTAAGCCTAAGGTTTCAGGTCTTTCTACGTATTCACTAAATGGAGAATGATAGAGGTTAATATTAACGTGATCAGTGTTTTTATCTCAGTCTTTAAATGCTTCTCATAAAAACATTGACTTTTTTGATATTGTTTTCTTTTTCCTAAATTGTTTTTGCGACAGGTGAATTTGGTTTAATTTAATTTGTTTATAAAACATAGGATTTGCTCAAAATTAAAGCTGGTTCATCAGGTAAAAGGAACTGACATGGGTCGCACAATATTGAGTGAATACTGCTTTTGATTGTGACTATTCCTAGAAATTATTCACACTATGTACTTTCATCTTGAGACATTGTTCATCAACGTGTGCCTTCCTCAAATAGAGAGGGAGAAAAATAAGTAACAAAAATCCTATTGGCCAAGGGGTCCCCACCTATGCCCTGGTTCATCGTGTCCCTCGGGTTTGACCTGTGTGTGCTTTCACTTTTAAGGTAGAATTATTCCCCAAATTTCTAAGGAGTGGCTTACGTGACTCCTGGAAATATAGTTTGGTATTTCTTAAATGAGTTTTAAAGTTAGTATACTCAGTGATGGGCTTTACTACTGCAATTTCATGCAGATGTCATACTTTTCCTTACTCCCCCTTCTGCCACACCCTCTTGTTCTCTATTCCACTCTCCCCAGCCCACTGATATCCTCCCTTCTGCTTTCATGTCTGATGTATTCTATTAGTCTCCCCCTTCCCACCCTTCCTCACATCCTCTCTTCCTAACGATCTCTTCCTATTCCCACTAATGGTCCCATATCTTCATTCATGACTCCCCCATCCCCCACACACACCACGCACACACACACATGCATATACAATTCAATCTAGATTCCACATACGAGGTGAAGCATGCAGCAAATTGTCTTTCCAAGTCTGGCGTATGTTGGTTCTGTAATGACTTCCAGGTCCATCTGCTTTCCTGCTAATCTGATCGCCTATTGCTCTTACAATTACATATCTTGATTTTGGGTCTGTGATTTTATATTCATTATGAGAGCCACGTGTGGATGCCTGCACACACTCATCTGTTTAAGGACATCTGGACTGATTCAAGGTCGTAGGTGGAGTCCCTGTGAATGGTGTGGGAGTAAACACCAATGAACATGAATCTCTGTGGTATGTTAGCTTAGGATCTTCAGGTACATATCCAGGAGTGGTATGCCTGGATCATATGGTAGCTCTATTTTGCATTTATTGAAGACTATTTCCCCTGAATCCTATAAAAACTGTGTAAGTTTATATTCCTATCAACACTATATAAGGGTTCCTCTTTTGTTCACCACAATCTGCTATCTGATTTATTAGATGTTGGAGAATGTCATGTGCTTTGATCATACTTACCCTGCCTTCCCCAGCTCTTCTCAGATACACCCACTTCCCTTATCACTTAATGTTGTGTCCCTTTTCTTTCTTTATAAAGGCTAATTTGTGTTACCCACATTGTCTTTGAAGTGTGGTCTTTCACTGGAGTGTGGTGGACTTACCAGGGGCCACATTCATGAAAAATTCTGACATACTCCATTCAGCAGATAATGATGGTCAGAATGCCTCAGAAATCTGGGATTATTCTGTCTTGGGCTTGCACAGGTCTTGTGCATGGTGTCACAACTGCTGTGTCTCCATATGTGGAGCTTCCCGGCCATGCCCAGCAGACACTGCTTCTTTATTAGCCATCTGTAGCCTCTTACACTCTTTCTGCCCCCTTTTCTTCAATGGTTCCTGAATCTTGGGATGAGAGTTGCAGTCTAGGGATGGATATTCTGCAGTCTCTTATTCTTTGCACCTTGGCCAATGTGAGTCTCTGTGTTAATCACCATCTACTGAAGATGAAAGTTTCTCTGTTAAGGGTTGCTAGATGCATTGTTCTCATGAGTATAATGATAGGCCCCAGGTGCATTGTGCAGAAAACCAGTAGTAAATCATGGTGTATGACCTATCACTTGTCTAACCTTATATTCTTAGCCTGATAATCATGCCAGCTAGAGATTTCATCTTGTGGGGCTGAACTTAAAACCAAGCAGAAAGTGTTTGGTTACTCCCATAATGTTTATGCCACTATTGCACCAGTAGGCATGTCTTGCCAGGGTGGTTATTATTCTAGTACATAGGGTTCACACTTTGTTATGACAATTACTTTTATTCTCTAGTAGTTTGTTTGGCATCTTCTATTACTATGAAAACTAGTCAATAGCGTGGAAGCTTCTAGGCCAACTCCAATTTGATTCCTCCATGTACTCAAGTATGTGGTATCTTCAGCAATAAGGTTTCCTTAACAAGGTCTTGAGGGTAACCAGGAGCATTGGCAATAGCCTATAATGTGGTCTTATGGCATGCCCATCCATCTGTCTCTCTTCATGGGACTGGCTGCCCTGTTGAGGTCTCTCACCCACCACATGGCTTCCTACCTGGGACTCGTTGCCTGCTGCAGCCACTTAGAGAACTGTGCCATCCCTGCCTGGGACTGACTGCTCTTGGAACCCACTGCCTGCTGCATGCCACCACTTCGGGGGACCTGTGGCATGGTCTCATGGCCCTGCAGCCACTTGGGGACCTGCTGCATTTTTACTTTTTACTTTTACCACTACAGTAGTAGGATATAGAGTCCTTTGGGTACATACCCAAGAGTGGTACAGCTGAATCATGTGGTAGATTTAATTTTAGCTTTTTGACAAACTTCCAACTGATTTCCATAGTGGTTATACCGTTTGCATTTCCACAAGTGGCGGATGAGTCTCCCCACCCTCACATCCATGTTAGCATTTGTTGTCATTTTTTATTTTTGAGGATGGCAATTCTGACTGTGGTCAGATGGAATCTCAAAGCAGTCTTATGTTCACCGTTCTGATGCTAAGCATGTTGAACATTTTCTCAGGTATTTATTGGCTGTTTTTAATTCCTTTGACAACCGCCTTTTCAGTTTACTGGCTTATTTGTAGATTGGGCAGTTTATTATTTTGATGTTTAATATTTGAAGCTATTTATAAATTTCAGATATTAACCATCTGTCTGATATGTAGTTAGCAAAGTTTTGCCCCCCTATTTTGTATGCTGCCTTTTCACTCTGGTGGCCATGATTTTTCTGCACAGAGGCTTTTTGCATTTATACAATCCCTTTTTTCATTTCTTGACACTCCTTTCTCTGCTATCAGAAAACTTTTTGAAAAGTCTTTGTTTGCACCTGTACCTTAAGTATTTTTACCTACGGTACCCTCAGCAGCTTCAGTTCTTAGGTCTTTCATCCAGGGCTTGGAGTAATTCTGAACTGATTCCATACAGGATGAGAAACACAGCTTTAATTTCCTTTCTCTATGTGTGGGCATTTGGTGTTCCCTGAAGTGTTTGCTGAAAAGAGAAAGGCTGTGTTTTTCTCTGTTTATCTTTTTGGAAGCTTTGTTAGGAGGCTATAGCTGCGTGAGTTTATTTCTGGGCACATCACTTTATTCTGTTCTTTGGTCTACGTGTCTGTTTTTGTGCCAGTAGAGTGTAATTTTTGATATTATGGTTCTGTGATACAATTGAGATCAAGTAGTGTGATGTCTCCAGCCCTGTTCTTGTTGCTTCATCATGCTTTGATTATCTGGAGTCTTTTGTGATCCCATGTGAAATTTAAGGTTTTTTTTTCCTATTCTGTTGTTAATATTTTGATGGGGATTGTACTGAACCTGTAGATTACTTTTAATGATATGACTATTTTTACAATATGGAACCTGCCAATATATAAGCATTAAAGCTCTTTGAATCTTCTAGCAGGTGCTTAACCTTGTAAAATTGGAATGTGAAACCATTCACAAATGAGTCATTCAAGAACTGAACAATAAATACAGCTATCAACTAACCAACTAACCAACCAACTGAACACCTTATGATGCTTCAAGTAGTTTATGATTTCGTGTTAGACTTCATTCATTATTATTTTTGGTCATATATACTTCTGGGCCATGACTGAACACATTTGATTCTGTCTTAAAATTTTTATTGAAGATGTCTTCACGTTCTTTGCAGATTATTATTATTGTCATTATCATCATTATTTTAACTTTTATTGATTCCCTGTAGACGTCACATCAGGCATGCCGATCCCACTTGTCTCCCAGTCCTCTCCCATCTGCCCTCTGCCCTTGCAATCGCCTGAAACAAACCAAACTTAAAAGATAAAACCAAACCAAATGAGAGAGAGAGAGAGAGAGAGAGAGAGAGAGAGAGAGAGAGAGAGAGAGAAAGAGGAATCTTGCTGTGGAAGCTGTTGAGTGGCCCAGTGAGTCACACATTGTACCCTTTGGTCCATTCATCTTTACTTGCAAGTGATCATTGCCATGAATCATTGGTCTGTTTCAGCTACAACAATCGGTTCTCACTGGGGCTCCTCTTGGATATCCTAGTGTTGTCCTGTGTCATGGAGATCCAGCGGTTTCAGATCTGTAGGTCCAGCCCCTCACATGCTCCATAGTTCATAGATGAGGTGGACACTGGGATGGGACAACTCTTAGCCCTGATTGGACATTGGTGGTAGCTGGCTTGGTCAGTCTGCCAGCTTTCCCTCATGGTCACTACCTGGGTAAGCTCTCCAGCACTGCCTTGGCTAGCCCACCCAGCGCAGCCTGAAGCAAAGAGCGG